ATGATAATAATGATAACAATAACAATAACAATAACAATAACAATTTAAATAATTTATATGACTACCCATCTCATAACAATGACTCTGGGCAGTGTATAATGATTAAAACTAACAAACAATAATATAAACATATTTAAATCAACAATATAACAATAAAAATAAGAACAATAATCTATTTCAAATATTGTAAGAATTTGATATTGTTTGTATACTTGGCATCATGTGCATATTAGAAATATATCTTCTAAAATGTGCAAGTAATCACTTATAGTTCCTAGTTGGAGCCATAACCTTATAAGGAAGATTTTTTAAAAAAATACTCTTAAAACATTTATGGGATTCTACTTTGGGGAGGATATAATTAGACCCATATTACTTTAATTCTGAAGCATTCCTTGAGACAAAATCATCCTTTTCTTTAAGTAACAAGAATCAGAGGATCAAACATGTCTCAGTATCAGACAATTATAACATTAGATAAGATTGTCACATGTTCAGATCAGTTTATAATAGTCTAGCCATAAACATAGTAACATATCTCTATGCTGGTCCAAATCCAGTATTAATGGAGAGGTTTAACTCTGCCCAAGAATCATAAAATGAAGCACAGATACAAGCAACAGGCTAGAAATCTTTTCTATATAATACTAATGCATATGAGGTTTTAGCCAACATTTTGGCAATGGAGGATAATCAAGACCAGAGACTAATGTAAAGTTAAAGTTAATAAAAGTTAAAAGTCAAAGTTAAAAGTCAAGAGCAATGATAGCAAATTCCCAACCACAAAATACAGCTGACAATGGTCATCTGGAATATCTCTACTATCTTGGCCAAAAAGAGATCATGAACTACTACAAAATAGAATATCAATACCTTCTTTAAGTAAATTTCAATTCTATGGTTCAACATGTGAATCACTGTTCCAGATACTGAAATATGATTCTGGTCCTCATAGAAGTTTTTCTAACATTCCTTTAGAGCAAACCAGGCTTCTCTAGTCTCTCCTTAACCTGTTAGACAGTGATGTGAGCCTTTGTTTAGTAGTCTCTAGGGCTTCAGATGGAGTCAGGCCCTTGTATTTTTTCAGTAGCAGAGTCTTATCAGTCTTCACACCCTTCTGTAGTTTCACCAGCTGACTAACTTCTCTCCGAGTTGCCTTGAACTTAGCTCCCAACCTCATTTTCGAAGGGGGGGAGTATGTACTGCTGTTCTTCTTGATTGTGTAGCCAAGCATCTCCAGGATTACAGAGGTTGTAGCATATACTAGTTCATTGGTTTGAGTTATGGTGGTAGTAGGGATTGTTGTGAGAGCTGTATTGGCATCTTCCAGAATACCATCTGATGGTACTTCTCCACTGAGCCTTGGTAATTGGTCTCAAGGGTTGACTGAGCTATGTTATCCATTATCTTATGCCTCATATCAGCTGCTGTGCTCTGTAATGGAAGGGGTGGCAGTGACAATCCAGCTTCAGGTGTTGGCTACACAACCAGTTGTTCTTCCAGGACTTCCTGAGCCTGGGATGCAATGTGCAGTTGGTCTATCTCAAGTTGTGAGAGCAGTTTCCCCTTCATTATATTGAAGTGTTGGATAACTAGCTGTTTCCAATTAGAGTCTTCTGTCCATCCACAGTTCCCTTATACGTTTCATATATCCCCTCTCATTAGGTCTACTGTTGCAGTAGCATTCCATTGATTCCAGGTTCTCTTGTCTCATCCATGTATGGTTTGCTCCAGGAGACCATTTATCATCAGATTATCCTGGTTCCCCAACATCTGGGTTAGACCTTGTTAATCCCGGTGATGTCTGAACCAGTGTGACTCTCTTAGTTTGTATCACCCTCATATCCAAGATAGGCATTGAAGTGTTAGGGGGTCTTTGCCCACGGACCCCTACTGGTAAGGGAGGCTCCAACTGGGATTCAAATCCCAGTCTCCCACTTCAAAGGGCAATGCTCTAACCACTATACTATTCAGCCACAAATAATTAATCCTTTACTTAATTCTAAGTAGAAAGGGAATATATGAATAGTTCTAGATACATACAGTATGCATTACTGTATAGTTTTGTGTGTGTGCGTGCACGTGTGTGTGTGTTTTGTTTTGTTTTTATGGAATGTTGCTGTGAGCCACTTAGAATTATCATGTATGAGATAGATAGATAGATAGATAGATAGATAGATAGATAGATAGATAGATAGGCAGATTATCTATCTATCTATCTATCTATCTA